CCCTTGTTGTGGTGATGGTTCCTTCAAACCAACCTGCCCCATTTCCACGGCAGCAGCACCAGATTTAATAGAATTCATTTCCAATTTTGCAATCCCAATATGTGTCTAAGGACAAGAGTTTTCCAACATATTCTGTGGAATTAAACTAAAGATCCAGAGAACTGCTCGGGTTTATCTGAGCCATCTGTACATGATGCATTCAAGTGATCTATAAGTATATATAGATTTTATACTGAACCACAATGTTTTCCTTTCCTGCTGCTTGTAAATAGAAGGATTGGAGCCTTTTCTGGGACTAAAGAAATTTCCATCCAGGACCCTGCAGAGATGAATCTTGGCTGTCTTCTGTCCCTCCTTGTTTCAGGATAAAGTTCAAGAATCTCATGTTTAGGGGTTGTCTCAGAAGAATCCGCTGAGAAATATGAGTTAATATCTGTTTTAGAGTTATTGTCTCTTCCCAAATGCATGTTAGGATTGTGACTCTTGAGTATTTTTATAGAACTTCTTCATGTAAAAGCAAGGGGAAAGTTTGTGCCCCCATTTTGTCTGATTTGTTAGAAAACCCAGTGGTGTAAAGCAACAATAACATCTCAAAGCACACTTTCTCATTATAGTTCTGAAAGGACAGGAAACAGGTCCTTAAAATTAACTTATACTAGCAGAGGATGAACCTCCTGAAAGTGTAAAAACCCCTGAGCTGCCTAAAGAAATTTAAAAAATAGCACATGGATTCTCTGTTTCGTATAATGAAGTGCCCAGCCCCTTTCCCAGGCCTTCCTTAGGTTTGGGATCAGATCTCTCCCAACAATAGCCCTCTTTAAGGAAGGATTGTCAAGTCTAATGACTCCATTAGGGCAAGCTTGGGTTCATATACACAGCTCCAGCCAAGTAATAACTCAGGAATTAAAAATCCATGTGGCTCTCCCGGCTGCACAGCAGAACATGTGCAGCAGCTGCTCTCAAAAACACCATAACTGTTATCAAAAAAGGAATCAGAGTCACTGCACGGCTTAGAAATCAGCAAATTATTATTAAATAGAAGCAAATTTGATGTAAAAAAACCCCTCCAAATCTCCAGGCTGGCCACGTCCTTTGTCCCCCTCGTTCGGTTCAGGTTGCATTGAGATGCTGTAATCAGGGCCCAGGCCCCTGGGGAGTGCAGGATGAAAGCACAGGCAATATTCAATATTCCAGGCCCATCCTGGGAGCAGGGAAGCAGGCAGGGGACGGGAGGTGCAGATGCAGCAGCCGCAGGGCTGGAGTTATCAGCTCCCTCCCGGAGCAGCTGCTCCCCTGGCCCATCCCTTCTGGATCAGCAGAGGACAAGCACAGCCTGATGAACCCCCCCAGGTTTTGCAGGCTGGGAAAACCATTGGGAAGGGTTAAAAACCCCCTGGAGTCTGAAGGGCATCAATCCCTGTTGGCAGTCCGTCCGTTTTTGCTCCATCCTGGCTGGATTCTTGTGCCGCTCAGCTTTTCCCCCAAAATGGAGGTTAAACCTGGCAAGGGGGGATTGTTCCACAGATTTTCTGAGTGGCTTTGGCTGAATTCCTCCGTGTCTGTTCATAACTGCTCCCCTGCCTGCACCACGGGAGCAATATTTAATTAGGGCAGGAGTCTTCTGAGGCCGAGTTCTTCAGAGCTGGTCTTGTGGGGCTGTGATGTGAAGGGAGCTGTATTTAATGTCATTAATTTGGGATCTGTGTGGCTGATGGCTTTGCTGTATTTTAGACTCAGTACCAGACTAGTGATTATACCAAACTCTAAGCCCCGGGCACTTTGGAGCAAGAAAGAGCTTTGTCACTGATGTAATTTTAAATTTATATTGACATATGTAGAAATATGTAAATATATATGCTAAGCCAGGGTGCAAGCCTATATTTGAGCCTAAACTGACCCTGCACACAAATTCTAATGAGCTCTGGTGCCTCAGAAGGCAGAGAGTCCACACAGCCCCATCTGCTTTGTGAGTGGGATGGGCACAACCTGGGCTGTGCCACTCATCCTATTTCCCAAAATATCATTTAGCTGATGGAGAACTGGTGGATGAGTGAGCTCCAGCTCCTTCCTAGAAGGCTTTAGTGCTGTTGGCAGCTTGATCCCAGCAGGCAGCTGAGCTGCAGATATTTGGGAGATGACTAAGGAGTGCACTTTGTAATAACCCAATTTCTGGCCAGATCCAATGAAGAACAGAATCGTTGCTGTTTGCATCAGGACACGGAGCCAAATTTTCCCTGGGGGTGGTTTGGGTCGGCTGGGAAGGTTAAAAAATCCAGCTTGCAAAGGAAAGCCCCCTGTGCCTTGCAGTGCCACTGGACCAGTTAAAACGCGATCCAAACCTAACGAAACCCCTCCACTCGTCGAGATTTACGGCTCCCCAGCCCGGTGGAGCGCGATGTCACCCCCCTCGTTATTCCACCAGCATCCCCGGCTCCGTTATCCCCCCGGATGAGCAGCCCTCGCCCCGCTGAATAGAGCAGGTGACTCCCAAATCCTGCCACCCAGCAGATGCTTCCGCAGTACCAACTGTTCCGAGGCCCCCAGCCCAGCTCCAGCTTTTTTTGTGCCCCCCCTTCCCCCGTGTCCCACCAATCTCCGCTGCCTGGCACATGCTGCAAGCCACGGTCCCACCGGAGCGATATTGTGATGGAAATGAGGGAGGGGACGCGGGGAGAACTGCCCAGATTTACAGCACTCCGAGGGTTTCCATTAAAATCCTTGACAACTCGTTATTTATGAGCAGCCCAACAGCTCTTCTAATATCCAGGGCCTAGACCCCATTCACTCCAATAATGCTGGCCTGGAATAAATGAGCCAGCGGATGGAAAGCAGTCCTGTTAGGATAATGGAGGGGGCTAATAGCTGTTTAGAGAAAACAACTGCTGTAATTCTGGGGCCCGATCCTTCCACCACCAGAACAATAAAGGTTCGATTCTTCGGTGCGTTTCACGTGGGGGTTTAACTCAGCGCTAAGAGGGTGATAAATGACAGCGATTGGGTTTCGTGCCGTTGTACACCCGCCAAGCACCCTCTGTTTGCACAAGTGCTCGGGAAATAAAGGCACTCACCGGCTCCTGGGCAGGCGGGAATGGGTCAGGCTGGATGTCCACGGCGGGACGAAGATAAACAATGTGTGCTTTATAAAATAATCCATTGGACCAAAGCTCCCCTCTTGCCTAAGTGTAATATCTGCATTTTTAGACCAAACCTCCCCTCTGCACAGCTGTAATATCCTCGTTTTTAAGTGTCATGGCAGCGCGTCCTTCCCCGGGTTTTCCTGAGCTGCCCCACTAAACCAGGGTGGAATTCTGTCTAACTGCAATTTTGGAACGTTTTTTCCCACCATTCCCTTCTCTGCTCTCTTCCCCTCCCACCATTCCCGTGCCAAATACAGGAGCACCTCCACTTACTTGGGAAACACAGGACTCATCCCCAAAACAAGGATTGTGGTGATGAACCCCCTTTAAACCCTAGATGTGTGTTTTGCTGCTCCATAGGGTTATTGATTCTGCTGTGTCTTAAAATCCAACTGACACGTGGATTACTGAGGACAAGCACCCCATCTGTGTTTCCCTTTCCCTCCTTTGTTCACCTGCAGGTGGTTTATTTACTGGGAATTGCTCCTGAAAGAAGCTGAGCCACCAGGCAGTTATTGCAGCATCCTTCTGGATATTCTGACTTTCAGGGCTGAAGTAGTTTGGGTTTTACACACCCACAAACTCAACTGTTAACTGGGAATGATGTGCCCTGGACAGGTACAGATGTATTTAAATTATCCTCTGGGTGACCGGGAGAGAAAACCCAAGAGAAGAAATGACTTCTTGGAAAAGGAAGGCTCCCAGACATGAAGAGAGAGCAAAGGGAGCTCTCTCAGGCCCAGTGTTTTTTTCCTGGATCATAAAATCCTAGAACCATGGAATGGTTTGGGTGGGAAGGGGCTTTAAAATCATCCCATTCCACCCTCTGCCATGGGCAGGGACACCTTCCACTGGCCCAGGGTGCTCCAAGTCCCTTCCAACTCAGGCTATTCCACGTTTCTATGAAAATGATATAAATTCCCAGGGATTTGTCCCACAGGGTGTGAAATCTTCCTTTGAGATACATTCCTGATGAGTTCAGCTTCATTAACCCGTTCAGGTGTTACCTGACTGGGGGTATAAACGGTGCCAAACCCCTCCTGAAAATTTATATCCAGGTCCTTATCCAGCACATACCAATGCAGTGCTGGAGCTCATCCAAAATATAACTATATCTAATTATCTGCCATTTGAGCTGCTTCTGTATTAAACCATAAAAACTGAGAGAGGATTGAAACCTCTTCTGATTCCAAAGGCTAAATGCAGTGGTAACATAAATAATGCCGTAAATCACCAGCAAAATGAAAACTTGCTCAGGAAATATATGATGTAATTTGTGCTTAGGGGTAAATTGGTCCCTGGCTGCCCGGGGTGGGGAAGGTGTGACCTGGAGCAGGCCAGAGTGGATGGCTGGGAGTGGGAATCTACTACAAAAAACAGTCTTTGTGAGATTTATTGCAGTCTGACCCCCTCTGCCGGCCACCTGCCTCTGTCCCACGGCCGGCACCTCAACCCAGGCACCCAAATCCACAGAGATGACAGCAAAAGGAGGGTGGGAAATCACGGGGACCGGTGGGAAAGGGGTGGAGAGGCAATTCCAGGGCAGGGACACTGGGACTGGTGGCTCCAGGCACTGTTGGAAAGGATGTAAATAAATAGATCCCAACCAGCTCATTTTACTTTCCTGGTTTGTTATCCCACACTGCTCCTTGGCCTTCCTGATATACTCCCAAGTTGTGAGGATCAAGCAGTACCCCCAGGGACACCACAAAGTTATTCAGAAGTGCTTAAGTACTTTGTTATCCAGAAGCTTCAGCCAGTAATTGAAAGCCTGCAAACAGCTCCCTGAAGAGCCCAGTAATTCCTCCAATTTAATTTATTCCTTTAAGGATGAACAGACACTGACATCTTTTTCCAAAGGTATTTTTCATACAAGCTTTTATTTTTCTTGGTGGTTATTTTCTGTTACAGGTTGTTAAATAATGCTTGCCAGTATAATGCATCTCAAGACAGAAAATACTCTCTTTAAATCCAGGTTGATAAAAAGGTTGTGTAGAATTAAAGCAGGAAAACATTATTGTTACTTCTAAATATTTTTAAACCTCTAGGTAAACTCCTCAGGGTTTTTTTATTGCTTCAGATACTCAGCAGAAAACACAGCCTAATACAGCTGGATAATAAACCTTTACCCACCTGTGTTTGCATGGAAAAAAGAGCTGTTAATCATAAACTGAAAATGCTGGAGTAGAAATAACAATAATCACTGGACAGTGTGTGCACAAAGCATCGTAACGTCCCAAGGCACTCAGCTGGCACTCCCAATGTTCTGGTTTAAGAACAGGCTCTTCTTGGTAAATCAAGAAGGTTTAGAAACACACAAAAATCATCCAGAATCAACGAGGTTCTGCTGAGAGATCATTTATCCTCAGCTACTGCTTTCCTGTGGGCTCCACACCGACCTTGCCTGTTCAGAAATCCCAGGTTTTCCTCGTCCTGAAATGATGAGGGCAGGATTCTCACCCTCCAAGTCACTCTGTCCACTCTGCTGGAGGAACAGCCCCAGACTTCGAGTGCAAACAGAAATTCAATCTCTTTATGAAATAGCTTTCACTTGCTTTGCATGGTGAATAAAGATGTATTTTTATTTAGGTTTTTCCTCATTAATAATTAATTCTGCATTCCAGAAGCTGAAAGTGTGATCCTGAGAGGTTCTATAAAATGCTTCTGGTCTTTGGTAACCCATCACAGTGCTAAAATAAAGAATAATTACAATGGAGATGTATCAGCCCAGCACAGAAAACTGCTGTTCTACGTCCCATCACTTGGATCCCTGTTATTCACTCAACTAAATTAGTAACTGTTGGAGTTGCAAGCTGTTTAACAAGCAGATATACTTCATCCAAGACATGATTTCAGTTTGATGAGGGTGATTCAGCTTCAGGCTGTGGGTGTTTGACCTGAGTCAGGTGTTGGATGGACCAAGGAGCTCAGAATTACGGTTGGAGTGGCCTTGCCCAGCTGAGTTCAGCATGAGTGGAGCCTGCACAGTGATTTGGGGCCATTCTCACCTACTCTACAGAGAGACAGGAATTCAGATTTATTCCAGCTTGTGACAAAGCAGATGGTCCTCAAACACCTGCTTGTTGGACTTCTCAAAGCTCTCGGTGCAGATGGGACACTCCACGAGGTGACTCTGCACGTGGGCCTCGTACTGACTGGTGTCAACATCCTCAGGGAACACCTCGTCACACATGGGGCATATCCTCAGGGAGGCCTGGAGGAGAAAAAACCCAAATGAACTCAGTTCCAAAATTACATCCAAAGGGAAGGAACGGGAGAGTTCAGCAGAGAGGTGTTCTCGCTTTGGACAAGCGGGTTTTTGACCTGTAATGCTCTGGAGTTTGCAAATGCCTCCAGGCTTCTCTAAATAGCACTTAAGAGCTCCTGAGAGGTGCTCTAACTTTCCATCCCACAGAGCACATGGCCATGTCTCAATGTGAAATAAGGTATTTAGCAGCTGCAAGCTGCTCATTCTGACATCAGATGCTGCCAGGAGCCAGCCCGTAAAGATTAAGGTCAGCAGAGTTTCTTTTCTCTTCCTTAAGACACAGAAATCTCATTATTCTTATGTAATATTATATATATTTATATTCTTATTCTTAATTCTACATGTGTGGCTCCACTTTGTTGTCTCCTGCCTTCCCAGGACCAAACCAGTAAGCAGATAATTGGCCACGGAGCTGAACTTGGAGCTTTTCATTTCCAACCATCGATTCCCAGCCATAAACCACTAATTCACGTCCACGTCCACTTTACTTACTTCAGCTCCTGCCCCCAGGTTTCCTCCTGCAGCTGGAAAAAGAAAAAGTCCATTTTAGCCACAGCAAAGTGGTTAACATTGTAATGTGCTGGTAACCAGTAATTCTTGAAACATGAGGATGTGGCTCTGGACCTAAACCTCGATATTCAGGAACTCTGGAAACTGGATAGAAGCCACAGCCTAGCTGTGTCCCAGCTGAATAAACCAGCTAATAGCTGTCTGTCTTGGCAGAAAATGCACAGCCTGATCACTTCAGTCCACTTTTAACACCTGCCAAGTCATCTGCACACACGCAGAGGTGCTGCCGAGAGCGGCTGTCCTGCAGCCCTCAGCTGGACAGGGAGGACCATCTGCTGAGGCTTTAACTGCTGTGAATCTGTGGTTTCCCCAGAATGCCAAGCAATCTCACCACTGTAAGGATTTCCAAACAGAAGGTCTCCTGCTGCAGGAGCTGGAACTGGAGCTCGAGGAAGAGCAGAGAGGGGAGCAAACTCAGCGGCCTGCGAGAGGTGCCTGAGCAGAGCGCTGTTCTCAGCCCGGAGCTTCTGCAAAGGCACACAAGGACACTGTTAATTCTCAGGAAAAAAAAGTCCTATTTTGCCCCAACACAGACCCTCTGACATCAGAATCTCAGATGCTCTGAGCTTTTAGGTAGCTCCTTCCTGAGTAAACGGGGAAGCGAGGAAGGGAGGGGCCATCAGGAACTGCAGGGACAGGACACAGGGAATGGCTCCACACTGACTGAGGGCAGGGTTAGGTGGGATATGGGAGGAAATTCCACCCTGGGAGACACTTGGTGTGGGCACACAGTCATTTGTAGGTGCCTGCAGCAGCCTGGCTGTGGGTGATGGTCCCAGTGAGTGGCCTGTTTTGAGGAAGGGTTGATGGAACTGAACACCAGGCTGGGAGATCAGTGTCATATTCCCCTCAGGAGGAAGGTGAGGGAGCTGTGCCAAGTTCTCACCTGACTTTCCTCATCAGTTTCATCCTTTTCTGCCTGCAGGACCTGAAACAGATGCTTCTGCTTCTCCAGTTCTTTCATTAAGTCGTGTTGCTGTGAAAGGAAAGGGGTTGGTAAATCAGGGGGCAAAATGGCAAATCCAAGGATGACAGCCCCAGGCTGGAGCTGTCACACATTTGCTGCCTCAGGCTGCATTTATTGCCCACAAATAACCTTCCACCTTCAGTGGGAGTGTTTCCATTTCAGAGTTTGTCACTGGGGATATCTCCATGTCACCACTCACTGCTCTCCTTACAACACGTGAGGTGACACAATGACCTCACAGGGGAACCACACAGCTCAAACAGAGAAGGGAGGATGAAGAGAAGGAACCCAAAACTGCTGAGAAATCCACCCTGGCAGGCAGGAGCTGTCCCAGTCTGCAGGTTTCCTGGAGCTGTGAGACTTCCATGGACAGCCAGGACATCCTTGGGAATTATCTGACTCTTGAATTCAACCAGTGCCCGAGCTGAGCCAGAGTATTTAGGGATTCTGCAGTCATTCCCAAAGTATCCCCCTGAGAATCCCAGACATTTGGCATCCCAGCAGAGGCAATCACATCACCTATTTTAGGCATCTGGCTTTCGGTGCCAAAATTAGAGGGGAGCCTCCACAACTTCCTGAGGAGCACAGGGAGAGAGAAGCACCTTGAGAAGGTCACTCAGGACACCAGGCTGAAGGTGATGTGATGGCCTCAGGCACTGCACAGGTGGGGTGTTTTGGGAGAAAGAAATGCCACAGGACACTGCCCTTTGCCTTTAGATCCTTCCATTCCTGCCAGGAGTGTCAGGGAAGGCTGTGGGGCAGAGCCTCAAACTGCAGAACAGGAGCTTTGTGTTGTTTATGCCTTATTTTGGTGCCCTCTGAGCACGTGGCATCTACTTTGCTGATTATTAAATGGCAATTTTGGGATATTAAAGATGAGAAAGAGACAAAAAGGGGAAGGGGAGGGGGAAAGGGAAGAGGGGTATTCTTATATATTATATATTATCAAAGTACCTGTGGACTGTAAGGATCTGAAGGGTTGTGTGTGCTCAGAACACACATTTCATGGACATCTTTACCTGCTGGGCCGTGCTCAAGCGTAACTGGTGATTCTCTTCCTTTAAAGTTTCCAGCTGCTCTGTCTTGTCCTGGCCCATGTGAGATAAGTTCTCCACTTCTTTCTCATAACTCAGCACTTGGGACTAAGGAGAAAGGAGGTTGTTCATTCATCTGATCTCTGAAGAGCTTCCTAAGTTTCAGCACGGCATTTTGGGTTCGGGAAGTCAGAGGACAAATTAAAATCAGATGCTCTGCAGACAGAGGGTTTATCCCATTGTTCTGGGTTTCCCGTGTCCCTGTCCAAACTATTTTTAGAATACATTCTCCCAGCCTTGTTTTCATCCAAGAACTAAAAATAATTTCAGGATGTTTTTCAAAACAGAGGTGTTTTCTTGCCTGGATCCTTGGCTGGCAGGAGGGAAACAACACTCTGGGTTTGGTCACTCAAGGAACATGCAAAGGGGATGATTTTAGGGAATAAAATCCTTACAGTTTCTCGTAGCACATCCCCCTCTGCCCTCCCTTTAAAGCAGATTTCTGGAGGTTCAAGCATATCAAGGGTTGACATTTTCCCCAGGAACTCATGTCAGCAGAAATGAATCTCCTACCCTTGCTCAGGGCTCCTCAGTTCTGTCAGAAGGAGCTCAGAGCAGCCAGGGAGGGGTTGGTACCTGCAGCTGGTCCATGTGCTCCAGGGCTGTTTTCAGCCTGCCTTCCAGGCGCTCCTTCTCCGAGCTCACACTCTGAATTTGCTCCTTGAGTCTACCCAGAACAGATCAAAACACACCACAGGCTTTCACAGCTGGGAAATCAGGCGGGAAACCCTGCCTGGGAATAAGCTGTAAATGCACTTACTGCTGCAGTTCTGCCTCCCTGCAGTCCCCCTGCTCCTTTAGGTGTTTATTCTCCATTTTCAGGGAGTTCACCTCCAGCTCCAGTTTCTCTGTGTTGCTCCTTAAAGACTCCAAACTTTTCTGCAGCTCCTGAAAATCACAGGGAGGTTGACAGGAGGTAAAGGGGACCCAAACAACAATCCTGCTCTGCACTGGACCTGCAAAGGCCTTCCAGTGCAGCAGTGCCAGGCAGCCCATCTAAGGAGGAAAATCCCTCCTCTGCATCCTCTTTCAGACCCTTTTCATTTGCATAAGCCCTGAGCAAAACTGAAGGAGGAAAAGATAATTACCATGTGATTTTTCAGCCTACAAAGCATTTTTGAACATTTCCCTTCCCATATGTTCCCAACTCCAGGGTGTGCAGATGTGTCTTTTCACCATTATTGTTTTTATCACAGTCATGTGATTTGATAAAGGATTAAACAGATAATATGGGGAGAAAACCCTTTCAATTTTCTCCTGGAAGTGTTCAGTGGAACAAAACTTTACTCAGTTCCTCTTCATCTTTCAGACTTAAAGCTTCTGCCTTAATACATTAACTTTCTGGTTCACCTGTGTCTTCTTGAGCTCCTCCTGCAGTTCCACGTTTTGCTTCTGGAGATTTGCACAACTCGCTTTCAGCTCCTCGTTCTCTTCCTGCAAATTTTTGTTCTGTAGTTCAATCTCTTCCACCTCTCCCTGGCAGGAGACAAAGCTGTTTGGTCACACCAGCAGCCCTGAGAGGCCACGTTGCAGAGAGCGCAGCGTGGGGAGCAGGGGAAGGGGAGCTGGGCAGGGGGAACAGCGGTGCTGCCCTGACCTGAGTGCTCCTCACGCCCCACGCTGTGTCCAACACTGACCAGCAACCCCATTCCTGAAGGCTGAGCAGCCACAGCTGCTCTGGGCACCCTTGCCAGTGTCCCCCTCACAGTAAAGAATTTCTCCCTATCAGCTCATCCGAACCTCCTCTCTGTCAGTTTGAAGCCATTCCTGCTTGTCCATGTCCCATTCTTGTCCAGGTGCTTGCCCTTTACTCCCCTGTTCCCATGCAAATGACATTTTCGTTTCAGAACACCCCAAATGCCCTGAAACACCAAGTGCTGAGTCACTGGAGCTCACAGTCTAAGTGGCAAACGGCAGGAAGAGAAACAAAGGCTCAAATTTGCGTGACTGATGAGCAGCAAAGCCAAGAACGGAATCCAAGTCTGCCGAGCCCCAGCTCGGCATGGGGGCTGTGGGATCACCCAGTGGACACATACCTGTGTGGTGACCACCAGGATATCATCCTCAGTCTCTGCTCGGAACTGGAAAGGGACACTGGCCCCCCTGACCATCCCATCCTGGTCCACGTAGCAGAACTGGTAGTACTCATCATCTTTGGGCAGGTAATAAGCTTCAGGCAAACACAACAGCATTGTCACACACAGCTTTGAACTGTTCAGCCTCTTAGTTATACACAGAAAGTGAGGACCTCGGGAAAGTCCCACATCCCAGCTCAGTAATTCCTGCACTGTTAGCAATTCCTTGTTACCAGGGGTAACAATCACTCAGTAGGATGGTGGGATTCAGCAGATTCGAGTTTTTATGGTTCCTGATGGGATTTGAAAGCAGGCTCCCAAAGCAGGTCCCACAGCCATCCTGTAATTCCTGTAATCCTGTTTACTGGGGGCAGCAAAGTGCACACACATTCCCAGCGGGATCCAAGCTCCCAACTCACCTTTGAACTGGATGTTCTGCTGCACAGCAGTGCCACTGTGGTCAGCAGCAGGCAGAGGAGCCCACATGAATGTGTAATATTCCCGGGTTGTTTTCCACCCCACCTGCAACAGGAAGATTGTTACGTGGCATCACTCGGGTTCATCCCGTGGAAATGGGGCTTTATTTCCACATGGATCAGTTACTGGGAGGATGATTGCATCGATATCCTGAGTTTTAAGGGTTGTGGTCTATGCATGGAATGGTTTGGGTTGGAAGGACCTGAAAGATCATCTCATTCCAAACCTCTGCTGTGGGCAGGGACACCTTCCATTAGCCCAGGTTGCTCCAAGCCCCGTCCAACCTGGCCTTGGGGATTTAATCTGAGTGGTTGATTAGCCCTGAACCTGCTCAGGCCACACTTTGTCTCTTGGCACAACACAGATACCCCATTACACAAAGTTATCACCAAGATTCCCCACCCTCGCTGTGACAAAGTCCGAGCTCTTTGTTCCCGCCTCCTGCTCCTTCCTCGTGCTCCCCACGCCCTTTTCCCAGTACCCACTTACCCTGAAGATGCCCACCCAGTCCTTGCCACGAGCAGTGATGTTCTGTGTCAGGGTGTAGTAGCAGGTCACGTCTGCTCCGGGAACATAAAACTTCTCCACGTTGTTGAAGAGCACCTGGGAGAAGTGGCAGCTGTCCAGGAGCACGGCAGAGGTGGGGGGATCATCGCAGGAATCATCCATGGTGGAAGTCTGCAAGAGGGAAGGGTGAGGGGGTTATTTCACCCCTCTGGCTGTGCCCACGAAGGGCACGAAGAGGTGTGGAATGGGAATGGCCCAGTGAGGTCCAACCCCCCCTCAGCACACACCGGGGTTTGTCAGCAAGGCACGTGAGCTCAGTGGTGTCCCTGCCACCCTGGGGACACCCAGGGCAGCCTGCAGGTCCTTTAGCAGACATGTGGAAGACTCTTGCTCCTGATCACCAGCACGGTGCCTGGTGCTCCCAGGCTGCCAGAGTGGCACAGCAGCCTCTCTCCTGCATGGGAGCCCATGGATCAGAGCCAAGGAGTGCCCTACAGACCCCCTGAGTGTCCCACAGACCCCCTGACTGTTCCATAGACCCCCTTGCACAAACCAAGTGCCCTCAGCCTCAGCTTCCCCTCCAGACCCTTCCCCATCCTTTGGATGCTCTCCAACACAGCTCAACCTCCAGACACACCCCCTTTCACCTTCAGGGTCCTGGCTCCCAGGGAAGAGGTACCTGGCTGGGCTGAGCTCCCATGGAGAGCAGCACCCAGGGGATGCTGGCTGGGCAGGCCCTGGGGACTGTCAGTGTGTCCCCTTGTGTGTCAGTGTGTCCCCAGCCCTGTCACAGGGCTCTTAAAGCCTCTCTGCACGTGACAGCCCAGCTGGAGCTGCAAGATGACTCCCAGTAGCGAGATGCATGACAGCAGGGTCAACAAACAGCAGGAGAGCTCCTGGAGTTCTCCACTGGGAAAACTTCCCGGCCTGTCGTGACCGGACGAGCCGCCCGACGTAAATCTGAGGTGGGGGCACCAATCCAAGGGGTATCCGAACTGGGAGCAGGCACTGAATCACCCTCCTTGCTGCCCTGTCCTGCAGGCAGGAGCAGCCCTGGCAGCCTGCCAAGGGGCTGGGAAAACCCCGCCGCCAATCCCGGAAAATGCCGCCCCAGGAATCCAAAGCAGGACCTCCTCAGCTGATCTCAGGGATAAGGAATGACCTCAGAACAGAGGGAAAGTTCACTGTGAACAACCAGCCCACCAGTCAGGGACAGTCATCCCACTGCAGCGTCTCACAGAGACACAGAATCTCCTGAGCTGGGAGGGACACACAGGATCATCCATCCCACTCCTGGCCCTGCACAGACACCCCAGCAATCCCACCCAGTCCCTCAGAGCGTTGTCCAAACCCTCCTGGAGCTCTGGCAGCCTTGGGGCTGTGCCCACTGCCCTGGGGAGCTTGTTCAGTGCCCAATTACCCTCTCAGGGAAAAATCTTTCCCAAAATCCAAGCTATCCCTCCCCTGACACAGCTACAGCAGGCTTTCAGGTCACCTCCAATCCACAAGTTTCCCATGGAAATGAACTCCCTGGAACCCTGCTGGGTTTTTTATGGCATCACCCAGGAGACTGTCAGTATTCTGTGCCAAACACCCTGAAAACCAGGCAGAAGTTTAGACTGGGATTTCAGGGATGTGCTCGGAAAAGAGAATGTACCCACAGCTGGAATGAGCAGCAACCCCTGCACTGCCACAGGCTGCCTTAGGGATGGGGAATTCCTCCTGCTGGGAGCAGAAGGCAGGGCAGATCCTGGAAATGGATGTGGCACGATCCCCTGGGCCATCTAGGGCTGCAGTTTCACTTTTAGCTAGCCCAGTAAAGGGTAGGACAGGGCTTGTGATTCATCCCAGCCTCAGCTTTATCCGGCTGATGTCAACCTTCCCTGCCCTGCTGTGCCTCGTGATCTGCAGTTCCTGAACACCTGGAATTTCCCGAGAGCCGCCAGAGAGAAAAAGTAAAAATAAAACCGAAAATAAATTTCAGAACAGCACCTTAATCGTGTTATGGCATCGCCCTGGGACAGCACAGGAGCCCTTGAGGCCAAAAGCAACTCGCAAAGAAAACGACGAGTTGCTGTCTGGGTGCAGCAAAAAGATTCTAATGCAAAATAATTAAAACAAACAAACAACAAAAAGTTGGTTTTGGTGAAAATACTTGTGATCCTGAAGGAAACAAAAGGGCGCAGAATGTGCTGCTGGCAGGGCGTGCAGGTCACTGCCAGGAAAAGCCGGCAGGAAACGGAGCAGGGAAGGGCTCGTAAGGCTCGTTCCGATTGTTGTTAGGGAACAGCTCGGGAGTTACCCGTGGGACCGGGACACGCCTCGGGGGTAGTGCCGATGCCGTCCCGGTGACAGGCACCGTCACATCTCCCCGGAGGGCGAGAACCCCGCGCTGCCCCGGGGGCTCCCTGGGCTTTCTCCTGCTCTTCCGCCGGCTTTTCATTATCCTGCAGCGTCCCCAGGGCCTGGGAAACCAGGGGATTTCCCCTTCTCAGTGCGACCAACCTCCAGCCGCGGCCGGGCACCAGGACACCGGCTCCGGTCCCCGGGGCCATCCCCGGGGGTCCCGCTGGATGGGGGGGAGCGAACCGGGGATGTTCCCTCCCCCCCCGGCCCGGACCCCCCGGGAAAGGAAAGTGTCGCTGTCCCCTCGCAGCGGGGCAGCCCCGGCCACCCCCGGCATCCCCAGGGACACCCCGGGATGGGGGTACGGGACCCCATCGCCTCCTCCCCCCGCCCCACTCACCGGCGGCGCGGCTGCGAAACGGGAACGCTCCGGGCTGCGGGGAGCAGGCGGAAGATCGGGAATAGGTGGAGCCCCCGGGACACCCCGCCCGGGATACCGGGCCGGTACCGCCCCTGGGCGGTCCTGCCGCGCTGCTGGGACTCGTAGTTCGGTGCGAGGGACCGGGACATCCCTGGGAACGGGACATCCCTGGGACCGGGACATCCCTGGGACTGGGATATCCCTGGGAACGGGACATCCCTGGGACTGGGATATCCCTGGGACTGGGATATCCCTGGGAACGGGACATCCCTGGGACCGGGACATCCCTGGGACCGGGACATCCCTGGGAACGGGACACTCTGGAGCCCAGGATACCCCTGGGAGTGGGACATCCTGCTGATCAGGACACCCCGGGGACAGATTCACATTCACAGAATGTTAAGGCGTTGGAATTCTCCCTGATGTCCAACCTAAACCTCCCCTGGTGCAGGTTAAGGCCACGTCCTCTCCTCCTGTCCCTGCTCCTGTCAGGGAGCTGCAGAGCCAGAAGGTCCCCCCCGAGCCTCCTTTTCTCCAGGATGACCTCCCCCACCAGCTCCTCTTTGTGCTCCAGCCCCTTCACCATGTGAAGGCTCCTTTTACTCCCCAAACTCTCCCAATTCCTTCATCCCTTGATGCCCCCTCCCCGTCTGGGTGCTGGGAGCCCATTTTTGGGGTCACCCCTTGGCCTCCCTTCAAGCACTGCCAAACTTTGCAGCCCTGGCTACGCCAGAGTGGAGCTTCCCTGGCAGAGACTGATCCCAAAGATGATCCCAAATCCAATAAATCATTCCCAAGCCAATATTTTATGATTCTGATTATTATTGTTTATTTTTTGCGCCTCGTATCTGGGGGGTTCCCTTACCTGTTACAGCGGCTAGCTGTGTCTTCAGTATCAGTGAATGGAGGGGTTTATTGGAAACGCAATTACACCGTGGAAAGTAACACAATAACACTACAAAACAAGGAAAAACCTCTATTTTTTCCCCCTTAGTGTTGATGGATAATCAAAGGGAGGGATGCAAATTTTCTCCCGCGGGGAGAAACTCACTGCAAACGGGACTATGTCTTTGGGCTCTGTGATGTAAAGATGCTCGGAGGGGGGGTCGAACTCCCCGGTATTTGGAAGGTCCGGCTCCTTTTCCCGGGATCTCTGCCCATCCCGATCCCCATGTGCACCGGTGATTGACACCCGCGCCGCCCAATCAGCGAGCGCGCCGCCGACCCAGCCAGCCAATCGCCTCCCGCGCGGCCGCCCCCGCCCTCCCGCATCCGGGCACGGCGGGAAGCGGGGCCGGGAGGGCGGGGCCCGCCGGGGGCGCGGCCAATGAGGGGCGCGGGCGCGGGCGCGCGCGCGCGGCGGCAGCCAATGGGCGCGGAGGACGCCGGGGGGGACACGGCCAAGGTGACGCTCCCCCCTCAGAGCCGCCGCTGCCGCCGCCCCGAGCGGACCCCGCGCAGGTGGGACCCGCACCCGGGCCCGGGCCCGGCCCCGCCGCCACCAGGCCCGCCTCACGCGGTTCTGGGGCAGCTCGGGGCGCGGCCCGTGCTCGCTGGGGTCGTGCCCTTCGCTGAGCGGAGGGCGCGGTGGCGCCTTCGCTGCCCTTCCCCTCATGAGGGGCTCGGGGGGTTCGGGTGCGGCGGGGAGGGCGCGATGAGCAGCTCTGAGCCGGCCCGGGGAGGGCACCGAGCGGGGATTAGCGGGGAGGGACGGGGAACGGCTAGCTGGGGACGGCAGGGCCGAGGGGACAGCAGGGGACACGGAGGGGCCGGGGGAGACAAAGCCTCGGGGACAACCGGGGGACACACAGGGGGCGATGGGACAAAGCCTGGGGACACACAGGGGGCGATGGGACAAAGCCTCGGGGACACGGAGCGGTGGTGGGGACAAAGCCTTGGGGACAGCCAGGGACACAGGGGGCAGTGGGGCACAGCCTGGGGGACAGCGAGGGCACACGGAGCCACAGTGGGGACACAACCTTTGGGGACAAGGAACCTTTGGGAGCAGCCCAGGAAGGACACGGGGGGGTCGGTGAGGGCAAAGCCTCGGGGACAGCCAGGGGACATGGGGACAAAGTCTTGGTGACAGCAGGGGGGACACAGAGCTGTTCTGGGGACATGGAGCCATTCTGGGGACACGGAGCCATGGCCAGGACACAACCTTGGGGACATGGTGGGGGCAAAGCCTCGGGCACAGCTGGGGGGACACGGTGGGGTTGGTGAGGGCAAAGTCTCCATGACACTGGGGGGGGACACGGAGCCGTGGTGGGGACACAACCCTGGGGACACAGCCTTGGGGACAGAGGTGTGGTGGGGACACAACCTTGGGGACACAACCTTGGGGACAGAGGTGTGGTGGGGACACAACCTTGGGGACACAACCTTGGGGACAGAGGTCTGGTGGGGACACAACCTTGGGGACACAGCCTTGGGGACAGAGGTGTGGTGGGGACACAACCTTGGGGACGTGGAAGTGGGGGCAGAGCCTCAGGGACGGGGCAGCAGATGGACCTGAGGTCAGATGTGCGTCTGAGCCCGGAGGGGGTTGGCAGGTGCTGACAGTGCCAGGAGTCCCAGTTCCTTGTGTTTATTTTGTTTATTTGCCTTAGATTAACAAAATGCAGGCTCCCGTGGCACTTCTCAGCTCCCCGGCACTGGTGAGTGTCCTTTCCTTGCAGTGGGATGATGATTCTCAGTGGGGATACAGGGTGGGGAGGGATTTCTCCAAGATGCTGCCCTGGACACCCTGAGCTGAGGTGGGATCCTGTGGGTCTGGTTTGCCCTGGATTTAAGGAGGAAGGGAAACAAGGTGACCTCTGGTGACACCATGTAAATAGATGGGAGTGAGCTGCCAGGGCCTTCTCCCAAGATAAACTGAACTGATTTCCACAGAGGTACTCAATCACCCCTCTCTTTAAAGGGATGAATTAGAAAGGAAATGTATGGAAATGTGGTAATAATTAAATTGCAGGGGCAGATGTGACGCTGTGCTGCAGCCTGTGGTGTGTGGAATTGCTCATGGAGTTAATCCAAGTGGCTGAAATGGGAATATCATATTCCTTTATTTTTTTAGTCTTGTGTCATAGTTGATGTTTTCAGGAAATTTTCATACTTTTCATCATAAAGAGTTTTTCTGAGGGTTAGTGCAGATACATCCAATTACAGGAGCACTGATCTCTGCTCTGTGTGAGCAGGGACAGGACCCAGGGAACGGCTGGAGCTGTGTGAGGGAGGTTTGGACTGGATTTTGGGAAAGGTTCTTCCCCCAGAGGGTGGTGGGCACTGAACAGGCTCCCCAGGGTTTGGTCACAGCCCCAAGGCTGCCAGAGCTCCAGGAGGGTTTGGACAGCGCTCTGAGGGACAGGGTGGGATTGTTGGGGTGTCTGTGCAGGGCCAGGGGTGGGACTGGATGATCCTGTGTGTCGCTCCCAGCTCAGGGTATCCCACAATTCTCTAACTGTTGATTGTTTCCCTGCAGTTCCGATGCTGCTCCAGGGCTCTGGCCAGGCCCGTTTCAGTGTCTGTTTTCAGCAGGCCTGAGGCTCAGACTGCACAGGTGAGACTGAAGTGGGAAACTGCCTCTTGGTGTCCTTGCTCTACCTCCTGACTTCTGGTGAAGTTCATCCAGAGGGTGGCAAATACGGGGACGTGGCTTCGCTCCCAGCTCTGCCCTGCACCGAGCAGGGCTGAACCCCGAGCTTGTCTTATTGCTGGTACCAGCTCCCTGAGGCTGTTCCTCACCCCTGTCCCCACAGGCAGCTGCTGTACCCTCCCCACAGCTGCTCCGACGGGACTTCCAGACCAGCGCCGTGTCCCGGGACATCGACACGGCCGCCAAGTTCATCGGGGCCGGGGCTGCCACGGTGGGGGTGGCGGGATCAGGAGCGGGAATTGGGACCGTCTTCGGCAGCCTCATCATCGGCTACGCCAGGTGAGGAGCAGCCCAGCCTGCTCTGGGCTTGTCCCTTCCTGCCAGCACCAACTGGAAGGGATTAGGGGAGTTTTCTCTGGGATCTGTGTCCTGCTCTGCACGTGGAGTGTGTTTGACTGAAGCAACCCTTGGAATGTAAAATGGCTGTTATAACCCAAGAATCTATTAAAAAAAATCCATGAATCTATTTAAAAATCCATGAATCTATTAAAAAATCCATGACTATGAAATCTATGAATCTATTAAAGAAATCCATGAATCTATTAAATAAGTCCATCAATCTCTTAAAAAGTTTCCATGAGTCTATTAAGAAATTTCTATGAATCTGTATAAAAAATTTCCATGGATCTATTAAAAAAGTCCATGAATCTATTAAAAAAGATCCACTTATTTATTAACCCCCCCTTATATTATTGAAATAGCATTAATTTATTAAAATAAGAATCCATTATTCTCTTAAAATTATCCACTGTTCTTTTAAAGTTCCTCAATGGTTTGAATCCACCCTATAATTAATTCCAAAGGATTCTGCTGCCTCTGGAAGAAACGGAGCTCTAATTGGGAGCAGGAATTGTGGCTTGGTGCCACCAGCTGAAAGTGCCCCTGGGGGTTCAGCATCCCTAAAAGCAGGGCAGACCCTGGGTGTGGCATTCCAGGTGCTGCTCTGTGCTCCAAACCCCGCTGTGACAGAATCCCGGGAAAACGGGCTCTGCTTCGGCCGCTTCCTTCTCACCACGGGGCTTTCTCACTGTGCTCTGCTCCTTGTTCCCTGGCAGGAATCCCTCCCTCAAGCAGCAGCTCTTCTCCTATGCCATCCTGGGCTTTGCCCTGTCCGAGGCCATGGGGCTCTTCTGTTTGATGGTGGCATTCCTGATCCTCTTCGCGATGTGACAGCTCCCGGGCCGGCTGCGGCTCCCAGCGCTCCGTCCTCCGCCACTGGAGCCTCTTTCCATCACAGCGTTCCAGACTGACCATTAAAGAAAAGATTTCTCTAAATAAACTGGTGGCTTGGTTTTTGGTTTGGTTTTTTTTTTTTTTTTTTTTTTTTAAGATTCTGGTCCGGTGGTGGGGGAGTTTTTGGGGTGAGTCGATGGCTTTGGTTGAAGGGTGGGATATCCCAGGGGTGGGGTGAAGCAAAAGGGGAGCATGGGAGGGGACAAAAACTGAAACAGCTCAAACCTATTAAAATTCCCCAAAAGTGTTGCTCTTGTAAAGCAAATCTTGATGAGAGTAGGTTGGGATTGGATATTGGGGAGAAATCCTGTGAGGGGCTGGAATGGATTTCCCAGAGCAGCTGTGGCTGCCCCATCCCTGGAAGTGTCCAAGGCCAGGTTGGACGGGGCTTGGAGCACCCTGGGATAGTGGGAGGTGTCCCTGGGTGAGACTGGGTGAGGTTTAGGGTCCTTCCAACCCAAACCATTCCATGATTCTGTATTTTTTCCACAGTCTGTTGTTGGAAATGCCCCCCTTCTTTCAGCTGAAAGCAGCTGGAAAAGGTGCTGGGTACAAGGTGAGGGTGTTAATGGTGTTTGCAGAACTGAATTCCCAGGAAGTGCCCCCATCATGGGAATTTCCTTTTCCAGGAAGGGCTGGTCTCAAGGTCACACTGTTCACGTGCCTCCTTAAAGCAAAGTTTACCCAAGGAATCACAGCTGAGTGTGAGAATCCATTAATCTATTAAAAAAAAGAAATCCATTGCTCTGTTAATCCACTAAACTGCTAGAATAATCCATTATTCTATTAAAATAAGAGTAAATTCATAAAATAAAAAGCTGAGGGGTTGTTGCTTCTTTCTTTTTTTTGACCCCCAGCAGCTCCATACTCCAGCTGTTTTAGAGATTGGAGTGTATCAGGGAGGAGAAATACCCAAATCCACCCCAAATCCACCCCAAACCCTGGGCCTGGGGGTGAGGCAGCTGTGCCTTTAAGGAAGGGGAGCCTGGAGGGAGCTTGTCTCCTTATCTGCTTTAAGTAATTAAATTAATGCAGCTACTCCTTGTCCTTAAAGCCTCTGCAGAGTGGTGGTGACCTCCCCAGGGATGGGAACACCTCCCCGGGCACAGGAAGGGGGTACAGGAATGTAAAATTCTGCTTGGAATTGCTGCTGTGAGGAATCCCCTGCAAGGGGAAGGGGGTGAGGAGAATTTGAGTCAAAAAAAACCTCCAAGACTCGGAGGAAGGTGGCTCTGAAACCGGAAAGAAGTCGAGGGAAACTCAGCTGAGTCAGAGAGGAAAAATCCTCTGGATCCTGGGAATAACTGCATTAATCCTAAAGCAGGGATCCCGTGCTCTGGGAACCTTCCCAGGGTGTCGATAGGTTGTAGCTGCCCAGCACCCAGAACTTACTGCCCCGGGAAAACAACACTGTTACTGGGGCTGGCTGAGTTACATTTAAACTCCCTTACACCTACGGAACTGGAGAAACAGCTCCTTGGATCCCTGCAAAGCGAAAAGTGACCCTGGAATGGGAATTGCTCACCTAGCACTCGTTGCTGCTCATACCCGGGTGGTTCTGGGCAGCTCTGCAGGCTGTGGAGGAGTGGGATGGTCCTGCAGGGACCACGGGCACAGCTGCTGGGTTCCTATGAGCTGGACAAACAGCTTTTCCCCTCTCACACCCCTTTGATCCTGCTGTTTTCCATCCCTGAGGCTGCTGGGTTGGGATTTGAACCCTTGGGAGTCTCCTGATCCCACGGCTGCTCCTTGCCCAGAGCTCAAACCCTTCCCTGAGGTGTTTTCCCGGCCCATCTGTCACTGCAGACCCTTCCCAAAAACGGTCTCAGTCTCTTCTCCAAGTAACAGCATGAGAGGAGACAGCCTCAGCTTGCACCAGGGGAGGTTTAGGTTGGCTATTGGAAAAAATTCTTAATGGAAAGATCCTGGAGGGATCAAAAAACCTGCAGATGTGGCACCTGGGGACATGGGTTAGTGAACATGGCAGTGCTGGGGGAACGGCTGGACACAGTGATCCTAGAATCGTGGAATATCCTGTGCCGGGAGGGACCCACAGGGATCATCCAGTCCAGCTCCTGGGCCTGCCCAGGACATCCCAAAATCCCTCCCTGTCCCTGAGAGCATTGCCCAAGCGCTCCTTGAGCTCTGGCAGCCTTGTGGCCTTGACCACTGCCCTGGGGAGCAGAGACCTCAGAGGTCTTTTCCAACCTTAATGTTTCCATGACTCCACGATCCCACAAAGCCCCCCTTTCCCCCCAAAAAAACCCAAACCCCCAAACCCTCCTTTCTCCCTCCACCGCACCAGGGGGCGCCGTGCCAAGGGACCGCCACGGCTCGCAGCGAGGCGGCGCTGCGGGCGAGCCGCTCTGTCCCGCTCTCTCTGGCCCGCCGGGGGCGGGGGCGTGGGCGGTGCGGGGCCGCTCTGGCCGGGCGCCTCGCTGGTGCGGACCCGGAAGCGGCGCGGGCCGAGGCCGCAATGGCGGAGAGCCCGGCGGCCGAGGACGCGGCCCCGGCCCCGGCCGCGGTGCTGGGGGCGGCCGGCGGCGGGGGCAGCGCCTCCCCGAGCGCCGCCGGCTCGGCGGGCACCCCCGGCGTCTTCATCCCCGCCGAGCTCTGGGCGGCCGCGGGTTTCGGCGCCGCCGCCGCCGCCGCGCCCGGCACCGGCGTGGCCCCCGCGGGCGGCGGGGCCCCGATGGCGGCGGCGGCGGCGGCGGGGGCCGCGCTCCTCACGCACTCGGCCTTCTGGGACCCCACGGTCAGCGGGGACTGGGACAGCGAGAGGCCCAGCCCGGCCTGCCTGCTGCGGATCAAGCGGTGAGCGGGGCCGGGCACGGGGGGGAACCGGGGCCGGGACCCGCCGGGCACGGAGCGAGGCCCGCATGCGGAGGGGGCGTTCGGCTCGTCCCCTCGGGGGGGTAACGGTCCCCTTGGGCCGCACCGGACCGTCACCGGCCGGCCTGGAGAGCCGGGATCGCCTCCCGGTGTCCCCGGGCTTCCCTGGGAACGGATCCCGGTCTCTCCCTGTGACCGGTGCTTCCCTGGGAACGGATCCCGGTCCCTCCGTGTGTCCCAGGGCTCTCCAGGGCACGCACCACCATGCCCTGGAATCACAGAATCCCACACTGCTTTGGGTTGGAAGGGACCTTAAAGCCCATCCAGTGTCACCCCTGAAATGGGCAGGGACACCTCCCACTGTCCCAGGTTGCTCCAATTCCCGTCCAACCCGGCCTGGGATGTCCCGGCATTCCTGGCCGGGAATCTCCTCTCGCAGTTGTCTGGGTGAGGGTGGATCTCACCCCTGCCAGCCCGGGGGTCCCTCTGTGCCGTCCCCTGGGGTCTCTGTCAGCTGCCCTGGGGGGTTTGACAGCAGAGCTGCCAATCCTGCCCTCGGCATCCCTGGCAGCTCCTGGGAGGTGCCGCGAAATTTGGGAACAGATTTGTTTGATTCGCTGGTGACCGAGTTGAAATATTCACCCCAAACCTGCCCTTTGCCCTCCTCCTTCGTGCCAGTTCCCACCCGTGGGGCTGCCCTGACCCTTCCAGGGATCCCCTTTGCCAGGAGGAGCAGGAAGGTCTGGTGTTGTTGGAGACGCTGGCGCTGATTCAACAAGTCCTTCCTCTTCCCTCAGAGCAGGAATTGCTGCCTGCCAGGCTCTTGCTCATCCTTGTTCTGGAGCTTGGATAATGTCTCCCAAAGATGGCTCCAGATTTTTGGGCAGTTTCCAACCCAAAGCAGGCAGGGAGGGGAGGGGAGAGGCTTCTCCTGCTCTCTCACCCTCCTCACCTTGAGAGCTCCCCGAGCTCTGGGCGCTTCCCGAGTGGGAAGGAAGGTCAAGTGGGAGCTTGTCCTGAAGCTCAGCACACCTCTGATTACAGGAGAGAGGCTTGGGGTGATGGAATTCAGCAGTTTGTCTGTCAACTGCACGGAGTTGTAGGTGATTAGTTGGGTTTTGGTTCATTTTGGGCTGAGTTCTTGGAGAAAGGGGGCTGTTGGGTTTGGGTTGGGGGGAGTGTTGCACCCTGACTGCTTTGGGACCTGCTGCCTGCTCCATTAACCCCAAATTGATCAGAGCAAAACATTCCAGAAGTGGTTGAGTCATGGTTTGGGAAAACAAATGACTGAGCATAGAAAGGGATCCTGTACATAGTCTGGGTGTGAAGAGGGAAAACCTCAGGAGGGAGAGGTTATCCCTTAAATAACAAACCTCACCTCACAGGACTTGAAAACAACTCCCTGGGGGGGATTTCTGGCTGGAGTTTTCCATGCTGGAGGTGATGTGTGGTAAAACACGAGGTGTGAGTTAATCAAGGTGTGCTCTGGTGTCTCGGCTGCTGGTTCATTGAATGCTGCTCCAGAAATGCCTCCATTATTTTGGGGGATAAACTGAAGGAACTCATCCAGAAAACTGTCAGTCTGCTTACAAATGACAAGTTTCCACCCTGGAAGTCTGTCCCTTTGCATCTGTGTGGGGATTTGTCACCCAGAACCATGGAGGGTTGCTGAACACCAGGGGACATCCTGGCTCATTCCTCTTTCCTCTCCTCAGGGATATCATGTCCATCTACAAGGAACCACCCCCAGGAATGTTTGTTGTGCCTGATCCCCACGACATGACCAAGGTAAGAGGTCTGGAGCTGGTTCAGCATCCCTGTGTGCTGCTGGCCATGGCTGCTGGGAGGGATTCCTGAGTGGAATATCCCCCTGATGCTCTGGGAGGAGTCGGGGTGAGCCTTGGGAGAGCACAGGGCTCCAGGTTTCCTGGTGACCTTGGGATGGGATGCATTAAAATGGGAGGAGGCTCCCAAGGAATCGGGCTCTGTGCAGAGATGCCATCCCAGTGGGCTGAGGAGATTCCATGGATGATCCAGCTCTGCTTTGGTGGACACTGGGGGTGCTGATCCAGCTTGTTTCATCCCACTGATGGAAAACTGGTGGCTGTGGGGGGGCTTCTCAGAGAAGCTGGAAATCAGAAAGGGCTGGAGTGTCTGTAATCTGCCTCTGGAGCCTGGCACTGTGGACTGCTGGGAGCTGGCAGGGAAACGTGGAAACTCTGGAGCTGCCTGCCAGGGTCCCACAGGTTCCTCTGGGCCTCAGCCTCCCTCTCCTGCCCTCATTCTTCCCCTCCAGCCTCTCAGGGTTCTCCAGAACTGGGAATTCCTGGTCATGCCAGTGAGCTGGGAGGCAGGAGTTGCTCAAACCTCTTGGGAAGAGGAGCATTGCCGTGGATCCTGGGGGAGCAGAGCTTCCTTAGGAGCCCAGAGGGAGTAGATTTCCTGGGATACAGTCTGGGATCTTGGAGGGTAATTAGGGAGAATAGGGTCTTAATTTCAGATGCTGGCAGAGGAAGTCGAGTGATTGGTTTTAACAAGACCAAATCAGCAGGAGAACAGAAAGCTGAGGAGTGCTCTAGTTTGGGCAGAAATTCTGAATTTTTTTTTCTTTCTAAAATTAGATTATTTTTTTTTTCATATTTGAAATATTTCTGGTGGATTTTTTTAAGCCCAGCTTACCACCTGAACTGTGGTTCTGTCTGGTTTGAAATGGAGAGACCTGGGCTTACCCTCACAGTGTGGGCAGCAGGGTGAGGGGGGATTCCACCTTTCTGCCTTCTAGAGAGACCTGAGAGCCCCTCCCAGTGCCTAAAGGGGCTCCAGGAGAGCTGGGGAGGGACTGGGGACGAGGGATGGAGGGACAGGACAAGGGGAATGGGTTTAATCTGAAAGAGGGTTGGTTTAGGTGGGATATTGGGAAGGAATTCCTCCCTTGGGAGGGTGGGGAGGGACAGAGCGGGAGTGGAGTGGGACGATGTGGTTGGGACACTGCAGAAGTGGTTGGGACACTGGAATGGGACAGTATGGACAGTGGAGAGGGACATTGTGGAAGTGGTTGGGACAATATGGTGTGGGACAACGTGGACAGCAGTGTGGGACATGCTGGCAGTGGTTGGGACACACTGGAAGTGGTTGGGAAGCCGTGGCAGCGGTTGGGAAGCCGTGGCAGTGGAAGTGGAGCGCAAGACGGGCTTTTGTTTTGCAGATTCATGCATTGATCACAGGCCCATTTGACACGCCTTATGAAGGGGGTTTCTTCTTGTTCCTGTTTCGCTGTCCTCCAGATTATCCCATCCACCCACCCCGGGTCAAACTGATGACAACGGGAAATAACACAGTGAGGTTTAACCCCAACTTCTACCGCAATGGGAAAGTCTGCCTGAGTATTCTGGGGTAAGAGGAGACTTTGGCTGTTTTCCTGGGAGATCAGGAGGTGGCTGCGGGCTCTGTTCCACCTCGTGCTTCCCTCTCTGCCCGTTGTGCCCTGGTCTTGCCGCCAGACTTGTGCTTGGATGCATCTTTATGCTTCTGTGAAGTCGTGTGCAGAATCAGAGTCATAAAGCAGCACAAATTCCTCTCCTGAAATAAGGGTTTAACTTGCCTTTGAAAGCACCTGAGAATGGAGAGAGTGAAGCACAAAATTCTGTGGATTTTGCTGCTTTTTCTCCTGCTTCCCCTCGCAAACCCTCAGACCAAGCACTGCACGTCCTCTGCTTTTGCACTTTCCAGCCTGGTCCTTGATGTTGTTTAAATGTAGGGGTTTGTGGGTTTAATTTCCTCTCTCCATATGGGCTTAAAAATAAATAAATAAATAAATAAAATCAGAAAAAGGTTGCCAGGAATTTCCTTGAGAGCCATTTGACTGCTCTGGGCTTCCACCTCCACTGAGACTGTGGGGCTGAGCTGTGGGTGGGATGAGTTAAAAGCACAGCTCCTGTGCTGCCTGTTCCAACAGGCTCCAATCCTGCAAATCCTTGTTCCTCACCTGCTTGGGTTTTAAACAAGGGAAGGTCCTGGCTGAATGAAGAGTTTCTCGGAGAAACTGTGGCTGCTCCATCCCTGGAAGTGTCCAAGGCCAGGTTGGGTGGAACTTGGAGCAGCCTGGGCTGGTGGAAGGTGTCCCTGCCCATGGCAGGGGGTGGGATGAGATGGAGCTTTAAGGTCTCTTCCCACCCAAACCATTCCATGAGAAGGGGCAGCAGCAGCTGGAATTGCCACAGGGATTTGATGAGCCACCAGGAACCTGAGCCCTGGTGTGGCTGTAAAACTGCCTTTGCTGGGATGGTTTCAGCAGTGCTGTGGACGTGCCACAGAGCTGGTCCCAGTAGCTGATGGATACAGACAGGGAGGTGTATCCTGCTGGGAAACACCTCCCTCAGTGTAGGAGCCTTCCTGAGGCAGGAGCGGGATGCCAACCCCTGCCAGTCCCTGGATGTGCAGGGCATGCCCCTGTCTGGGAGGCCTGCATGCCCAGCAGCTCCCACTCAGCTGCCTTGTTGCTCCTGCAATTGGAGCTGCAGCAGGGAAGGTAAATTATTGAAGAGTGAACAAAGAGCCTTGGCCTGAGCAGGGATGGGAAGCGCAGAGGGAGCTGCGAATAAAAGGATTTAGGAAGAGGATATGTGGGTCAGCACATCCTTGCTGAGCTCACAGGGAGGCAGGTCTGGAGCTGGGATATTAAGGGCAAGCAGCAGAACAGCTTTTTCTGCTAATGCTGTTCAGTGCAAAGGTTTTTGCTGCCCTGTGTGTGGAACAAGCACCTTGTTCCTGTGAGCTCGTGCTTTTGGGGCAGTGCTTGTGCTGAGGGTCTGCACTGCTGCAGGACTGGTGGGGCTTGTCTGAGTCTGGAAAATCAGCTTTGAGTCCGGAAAATCAGATTTCCGTTCTTAGGGGCTGTTATTTCTGACCTTGGACAGTGCTGGGAGCTCGTGTTGCTCCAGGCTGTGGAGTGGGGTGACAACCATAGCCTCAGAATTCCCTGTTACTTCCCTGTGATTCCTGTGTCTGTTAGTGGAGTGAGGTTTATCAGCCTTGTGGTGCTCAAGCTCAAATACTCATTTAGCTGGGAGAATAAGCTACTTGGACCCTGCAGACTTTCTCAATGTCCGGTGCTGTTCTACCTGTGGCAGCTCTTTCTTCTCCTGTCAGGTCCAGGTGTGGTTTCTGAGCTATGCTGGTGGAGGGATGGTGCTCCCTGAGCCAGTCCTGCCTGGTTAATTAACTGCTGCTTTTCTGTTTTGCTGCCCCAGCACCTGGACCGGGCCTGCCTGGAGCCCAGCTCAGAGCATCTCCTCAGTCCTCATCTCCATCCAGTCGCTGATGACCGAGAACCCTTATCACAACGAGCCCGGCTTCGAGCAGGTGAGACTGAGCCGGAGCTTCCCTCCCCTCCTCGCTCCTGGTGGCAAATCCCCTGCTGGAATTGGGATGAGAATTGGTGATGAGGCTTGGCTCTTTCCCAAGAGCTGGAGGGGGAGTTAGAAGCCAGCTCTGAACCAGAGGCTGCTGAGCTCACCTGAGTGTGAGGGAAGGGAAGAACACGAGGCACTCGAGGAGCTGCTGGGGAAATGGGATGGCTCTTCCTTTCCCTGCCACACCACTCCTGGAGTGGCTCCCTTGGGACGTACTGTCCTGCAGGAACCAAACTGCTCAGGTTTTCCTGGTCTCCTGGAGGGAGGCAGCTTTCTGTGCTGACTTCTTCACTCGCCTTGTCTCCACACCGTGCGAGCCCAGGGCTCTGGAGACACATCAAACCCTGCCAGCTCCTGTGTAAATCAGCTCAGCACACACCGAGCAGACAGAGCTGCCGTGGGTTCATGCACCAGTGCAGCTTGTCAGGCCCAGGAGGGAGAGATGAAGAGCCACTGCAGAGGTTTGGGCTCACTGGCCCCATTCTGTTGGCAGGAGAGGCACCCCGGGGACAGCAAGAACTACAACGAGTGCATTCGGCACGAGACCATCCGCGTGGCAGTGTGTGACATGCTGGAAGGGAAGTGTCCCTGTCCCGAGCCATTAAGGTATGGAAAGGAAGGATGTGGGGAAGCGGGATAAACTGTTCCTGGGATCCTGAGAGCTGCTCTGGCTGGCCCAGCCGAGAGCCGTTTTGCCCCCTGCAGTGGGTGGCTGGTCCCTGTGGTGCCCAGAGCTGTGCCTGGACAAAGGCCGTGTTAATGAGCACAATGGCTGCATCCTCTGACGTGTGTTTGGCAATAAATGGGCCTTGTCTTCTGGGGGACAAAAATCCTGGAGGGAGGAGGGCACAGCTGTTGTGGAAACACGTGCAGCATCCCTTCAGCTGCAGTGATCTGCAGTCCTTTGGCTCTGTCCTGCCTGTCTGTGCCCCTCTTAGGGACACACACAGGGTGTCCCAGACAGCTCCATGAACTGGAATTAGTGGGATGGGGTGACCCTGGGTGATGTGAGTGTTGTTGTGTTGATTGTTTGCCCTCTCCTTGCGCTCAGGGGTGTAATGGAGAAGTCCTTCATGGAATATTACGACTTCTATGAAGGGGTGTGTAAAGAGAGGCTGTACCTCCAAGGACAAACGATGCAGGTGAGTGCCAGACAGTTCTCTTGGTGAGAGATGAACTCCACTGCAGCATTTTCCTGCTGGGTCACTGGTAGAGTTTCTCTTTTTCTGAGGCTCCTTTGCTCAGACAGCAGTGGGAACTTCTCTCTGCCACTCCTTGTTCTGTCAGAGGTGGAGAGTGGCTGAGGGAGGAACAGGGACGATACAACAGACAGATCCTGACAGGAGGAATCCAGGAGCTCCTTTCTGCAGGGAAGGAGACTTTACAGACCAGATTGCCAAGCTGTTTGCATATGAACAGATGTGTCTTCCTCCCTCATCCACCACCTCTCCTCTGACTCATTGAGAAATCCCACTGCTAAGAAAAGATGGAGGTGGTTGATTTAATGATCTTGTGTCTCCGAGCGCTTTTTGCCCTCTCAGTGCTGTGTCATTCATAAACTGAAAGTGCTCCCAAAGCAGGAGAGTTATGTTTGGAGTGAGAAGCTCCCATGAGGAGTGCCTGTGCTTGGCTTCCAGCTGCAGGGAGTAGTGAACTGAGGGTGTGGAGAAGTTTGGTGACACTGGAGGATTGTCTGGTGTGGGCCACTCTGGTTTTTCCTTGGAGGAGCTCCGGGCTCTCTCCAGGCTTTGTGAGGATCACGGAGCTGTGCTCAGTTCCCAGAGGTGATGGTGCCATGCCTGGTTTTCTGATCACTTGTAAATAGTAGCACAGGAAGCCTGAAAACAAGGTGCTGGAGAGATGATATCATTGTTTTCATTCCTATTTGAAATGAAGTCACCCCAGGCTCAGTATCAGTTGAGTCCTTGCCAGATGTGCTGTTTTGTTAATTCTGGAGCCACATGTTGGCTTGTACCAAAGATTCCCATCAGATAGGACAGCACAACCCCCCCCCCACCTCATCCAGCCTTGGCAACGTGTCTTTGACCTGGGATGGGGTTGAAAGCAGCAAATGTTAAATAACCTTCAAAGACTTTGTGCCTCTGACTTGGCTACAGCTCAGCTGGGGCCTTGATTTCAGGTGGGAATAGTGATGCTTTGCATTTGGACGGGGCCTGTAGCACTAATTTGACACGTGGTGAAGTCTTTGACCTCTAGATTTTAGAGCCTTTGGTTTGTAATGTTTTCCCTGGACCAAATCTTTGAAACAATTTACTTCCCTGGGGCTGGCAGTCGAAATTCAACCTGTGTCTGCTCGGCCTTCCTTTCATGTGGTTTGAAGTTTTGCTTGGGTTTGTAACATTTCCCAAACAGAAAACATCAAAAAAAATTAAAAACATTTTAAAAAATTAAAATGTCATCACCTCTGCCACGACAGGGAGAAGTTAAGGGGCCTCTCCCCCCTGAGATGGGATTTTACCCCGAGTTCTTGGGGTTTATGCACCATTACTACCCAGCCCTTGCCAGAGGGGAATGGGCTGCATTAAGAGGCTTATCCCTGGTTTTCTTTCAGGACCCTTTCGGTGAAAAGCGAGGCCACTTTGACTACCAGTCCCTCTTGGTGCGTTTGCAAGGAATCCGGCAGAAGGTGCAGGAGAAACACCAGCAGGAGAACCCGGAGATAGACTCTGAGAGCAGCTCCTCCGAGACAGAGACAGACACGCAGGGCTGCTCCAAAGCTTAGAGCCTCGGGCCTGCTCTGCCTGCACGCCCTGACAGACTCCACAACCAAACCACTGCCAGAGCAGGGGGCACGGGGGACTCCTCCTGCCTCCCTGCGCTGCTCTGGTGGGAAACGCTGACTGAGGAGACTTCACGTAGACAAAGCCGAGCTTGTGACAGGCTACTCGTACAAGGTACTTCCTGCGCTAGAAAGCCGGAGCATGTGGCATCAGGTTATTTTTCTTTTGGAAACACCTACACTGGTTGTTTGAGGTTTCTTTTTTTTTTTTTTTCCTCCCCTCCATTTGATTAAAGAATGAGATCTAGACTGCAAACCCTTGACAGCTTTTCTGTTCCTAGACAGTGAGCCCTTCCCCTGAACGTGGAGCTGTGGCTGGGGAAGCGCTTTGATGAGTCCAGGGTGTGTCCAGGTGAAACCTGGGAGAGGTGGAGCCTCTCTGCTCCGTGGAGCCCAGCTACCTGATGTCTTTCTTCTAGGCAGACCAAAGATAAAGAGCAGTGGTGGAGTTTGGGCTCCTTTCTGAAAGCTTTACTCAAGCCCCGGGTGACTTTTGAACTCCGGGTGCAAAGGGGCAGATGGAAAGTGGAAGCTGCAGGGATCCGTAAGTGGAGTGCAGGTGTGTCCATCCTGGCGTTTTTGGGGAAGGGAGGATGAGGGAACCACTGGTCAGAGATGGGGGGAGCACTTATAAACCAGTCTAGTTTGTGCATTATTTTTTTAAGATTTTGATTTGAATTTAGCGTTCTGGAAGCGTTTCATTCGTGTTTCCTCACCTGAAGTTCTCTGCTTTCCACCTCTCCAGTCAGCGTCACATGTTATTTTCCTCCCATCTTCCTCCCTCCCTGCTGCTCCCTTGGTCCATCAGATGGAAATGCTGGAGTAAGGGGCAACTCCTGGCTGGCGTTTTTTGGAGGTGGACGCCTTGTTACGGACAAATTCCTTTGCCAAACTTGGCTGAGTGTTGGAAGCCTTGAACACTTGAGCGGATCTGAGTGTTTCAAAGAGCAGGTTTATCCTGTGAGTGAAGGCCACCCTCTTGGAGAGGTGTCTGCTGGCTGTGCCATTCCCTCCGACGTGTTCAGTGGGTGGAGATGAGAAACCCACTTCCTCCAGGTAACTGAGCCTGGGGAGGATTGATTGGAGCAGAGTTTTGTTGATAAGAGCTTATGATCTTTTTTTTTTTTAATTTTTAATTATTTTGATGGGAGCTTTGATAGAAAGCTAAGCATGAAGTTGCACATTGTCCTGGGCCCTCTCCCAGTTTCCTTAAACACCTTCCCACCAGTCTGGCCCCGTTGCAGATTCCTGGTGGTGGTGGGAGAACTTCCAACACCAGCACAGCGAGGCAATGCCCCGTGTGCCATGGGATTATTCCCAGCCTTTGTGATTTATCTCAACCCTCAGAGCCCTCAGAACCCTGCACTCTGCCAGGCTGAAAGGTGGAAACATTTCGGAATTAAGGTGTTGTTTAACAACTGGAGAAATTTGGTTTTCCTCCTTGAGCAAACTCCCCTGGGTCACGATTTAGACTCAAAATCTTCCCTGCAGGGAAAGCTGAGCTGCCACAGGACTCGCTGAGCAGGGGGTAAAGGAAGTGGGGTTCACCGTGGGATGAGCTGTGGGTCTCCTGAGAGGTCTGTCACCACCTCCTCAACCCCACTGTAAATGTCACGTTGTTTGTCGCCCTTCGGTAGCGTCGTGGGTGGAGCTGTGGCTCTGCTGCCTCCCCGGGGCAGGGCTGGCTCTGAACTCGTGTGTGGTGCATGTGGTGTGACCATCACCCATCCAAGGAAACGAGAAAATGCCTTATTGTGGACACTACTCACCCACCTCGCATGTGGCTGTAAGAGAAGTATTAGTTTTCTAGCTCTGACGTTCTGTCCTGCCATTTCTGAATGTCTCCATTTCCAAGTGACAATCCTCAATGACTGCTCTAGGCAGAGATGTTTTAGCAACAGATTTTTAGACCTAATTGAGTTGAAAATATATGCACAAGAGTCACTCTAAGATACCTTGTTTATATACTATTGTACATAAGATTCTTTTTTTTTTTTTTCCTTTTTTTTTTCTTTTCTTTTTTTTTTGTGCAATAAAGTTTGTTTTGGCAGAATGGAGCCTGTGGTAATTCCTTAGTGGAACAACAACCAACCAACCAGCAACTCCTTCACAGAGTGGAGAGCTACCCAACAGCTTCCCCACTTCTTTAGCCAGAATCCCATTTGCATCCTTTAAGACTCCAGATACTTTTCCTCTTGCTGTGACATTTAGTTTCCAGGAGCAAGTGGCATTTCCACCCCCAGCCAGGGAGCACATCCAGAGGTAAGCCAGCAGGAACGAATCCTAGAAAATTTTCCAAGGTAGACACTTTTTACAAAACTTTTATTTCAAGTCCACTGTCCCTGTGTTTCAGGTGATATGCAGAGAACCTCCCGAGGATTCTAGACAGGCACAGAGCAGGGAGCAGTCAAGGAATTGCCTCCTTGGCTTCCTCTGGAGTGATTTCCTGAGAGTACAGCTCTGTAAAGAGAGCAGGGAGCCAGTACTGAGGTTCTTCTGGTGCCTGCTCATCCAGCCAGGCCATTCCTTCCTTCAGCAAGTGTTCCTGTCCAAACAGAGCAGAAACTGTGAGTGAAACCTGAATGGCTCAGGGGCCGTTCCCAAGAGAGCCCAATCCCACATTCATTATAGGGGAGGGAGGGGGGAGAACTTGGGATGTGATAATTTTTATTCAACTTTACAGGAGAAATATAGTCCAGATATCTTCCTGTGTGTATGAGCTCACAGGATTCAAACTGGATTCAAGGAGGGCAGGGTTAGGTGGGATACTGGGAAGAAATTCCTCTCTGTGAGGGTGGGCAGGCCCTGGCACAGGGTGCCCAGAGAAGCTGTGGCTGCCCCAGCCCTGGGAGTGTCCAAGGCCAGGCTGGATGGAACCTGGAACAACCTGGGCTAGTGGAAGGTGTCCCTGCCTGTGGCAGGGGGTGGGACTGGATGGGCTTTAAGGTCCCTTCCCCCCCAAAACCAGGCTATGAGATCAATGAAACCACGGGAATATCTGCAGCTCCTGGGATTCTGCTTTCCCCAGTCCACGGTGTGTGCTGTGCTGTTGGACTTGCAGCAGCTCAGGATCCCTGTGCATCCCTGGTGCTGCCTTCCCAGCCCCGTGTGTGCCCTGCAGGAACAGCCCCCCGGCACACGAGACCCCCCCACCTACCAGCACTTGCTTTGCACGTTCCGTCTCCCACTTCAGGCTGGACTTGATCTCACTGACTGTCACAAAGCCCTTTTTCTGGGAAAAAAAAAGAGGAAAAATACCATCAGCTTCGAGTCAAGACTTAAATCCTTAGTTTAGCAGAGCAGGGACAGTTTTGCCCACAGGTCTGATCCCAGTTCCCTGTCAGGGAAGCAGCAAGGTGTGTTTAACAGCTGGTACCTCTGCCAGCTGCAGGACAACGGTGTGATCCATGTTCAGCTCAGCTGGCACAGACTGGATCAGATACGTTCCACCAACAGGGATAATCCCAAAGCCATTCCCCAGGACCTTCAGCTTCTTGATGGCACGGAGGAGATCGTCCCTGAGGAGCAGAGGGCAGTTAGAGCCTCTCAAACTGCGCTCTGCAGACCTGGAGGTGAGGGAGACTCGGGCAGAAGGCACGAGCTGTAATTGCTCCTTGGAGCTGTGCTTTCAGCTTGTCAACAGCTGGAATAAAGCACTTCAAAAGAGTTTGGGTATTTGGGCCCCCCTGCAGACCTGAATTAGAGACGCGATTGCAGCAGCTGAGCCTCAAGTGCTAAGCTTGAAGGTTCAGCCCCAATTAAGTTTGAGTTGTGTCCTAAAATCTGCTGCTGAGGAGGCCAAAACAGCTCCAGCAGCCTGGGGCTGGATTTGCAGGGAAATAATTGTCCCCAGCTCAAGGCAACAGTCCTTGAAGCCTGAGGACTCCCAGAGAAAACCATTTCAGGCAGCAGCAGTGTGCTGAGTCATTAATTGTGAATCACATGGAAGCCAAGTTGGGAGGCCCCAAAGCAGTCACCCCCTTTTCTTCCCCAAATCCTGTTTGTTTCCCCTTCCCTGTGACACCCAGACACTCACTGGCTGACATCCTGAGCAAACTTCCCTCTGCCCTTCAGCACTTGCTGGTGAAGTTCTTCCAGTGTTATCAGCCCTGGGAGACAACAAGAGGGGACAGGAAAACATGACTCATGGCAACAAAACTACTCCAGAGAGAGCAGTCAGGGCTCCTTTGTGCTTTGCCAAAGCCTCCCAGTGTCTGTTCATTGTTCCCAGGATGAAGCACTGGGTGAGACAATGACCCAGTCTTGTTCCCAGGCAGCTGTTTCCTTCTCCCACAAAATGTGGGTGTTTCACTGGCTTTGCTGCAGCCCATTCCTGGTCTCACACTGCCCTTCCGGAGTGAAGAACATCTACTATCTGTAAATTAAGCACTTCTATCTGCTATTCCAACCTTCTGAATATTGCTGGGATCCTTCAGAGCCAATCTCAGGCTCCAAGCAGGCTCATACTCCTTCAGGATTGCCACTGATCCCTGCTCCTTTCCATGATCCTTTTCCATTACATTTTAGTTCCCTAGACAGGGCAGAGTTGGTGATTTCTGGATCAGTGAAGTGGGAAAAGTGCTCCCGGTGAGTGGTGTCTCCCGGGAATCAGCGTGGGATCCTCACCTCCATTCCTGTGTTTCAGAGCCAAACAAACTTCAATGATCTGCACTCCCAGTTCGTAGTAAAAGTCTCCAACTCCCAACATCTCCGACCAGAATCCTTTACCAGCTGAAAAGTGAGAGAGGGAAAAGGGGTTGGAACATTGGGAAAAGTATCCTTGGTGTGAAGGCAGCTCACAAACCTCACAGGGAGGACTTGGATTTTTGCCTCCACCCGTTTTCCCCCACCCAAGGGTGCATCCCACCAATTCCCAAGCCCCAGGAATCAAAGCACCGGCAGTTTTCCTCTAGGACAACTTTCCCCCAGCTGCCCCACGAGCTGTGTGGAGTCTGGGAACAGCGAGATGAATCCTGCCCTCGAGCCCAGGGCCTGCTGCTCACACGCCAAGGGATCCACTCCGATGGTCGCACACATATCCTGGAACTGCACCCGGAACTCGGGGTTTTTCCGGATCTCCTGCTTGTGTTTGCTGGCAAACTCTTCCAGGTTGGTCTTAAACATGTCCAGCTGCTTGGACATCTGGAAGGGAATTGAGGAAAACACTGAGAACAAACCAGGAGCAGGCAGCACTGGGGATGAGGCACTGGGCATGGAAAATGCCCTGGGCATGGATGGAGAAGGGGACAGGGGGGACAACCCCAGGGCAGGGGGGGATCTCCCACCTGGGCCAGCTGGTCTTCGGCCAGGACCGTCCCTCGCTCCTTGTACTTGGCCTGCAGAGGGAAAACAGGATGAGGGACACAGTGCTGAAGGTGGGCCTGGAGCCAGCACTCCAGAGGGAATGTTCCCGAGGGATGGATGGACCGGGAGGATGCAGGGCCCAGGGCAGGCTCGGGGCATCCTGCTCAGAGCAGGGATGGGGTGAGATGTGAGGATGGGGTGGCCCCACACAGGGCTGGGGGGGACTGGACCCCCTCACACCGCCCCAGTGAGCCCTGGCAGAGCCCCCACCCGAGACTGGGGGTCCTGAACCTCCTCCCACGGTACCAAAAGAGCCCGGCAGCTCCTGACCCCCCTCGCAGGGCACCACTGGACCCTGGCAGCTCTCCCCATCCCAAATTAGGGGCTCTGGCAGCTCCCCTTCCCCAGACTGAGGGCCCTGACCCCCCTCCCACGGCACCAACGGACCCTGGCAGAATCCCCCACCCCGAATCAGGGGCTCTGGCCGCTGCCCCCCACACCGGGGTCCCTGCCCGCCCCCCCCGGCCCCGCTGTGTCCCGGTGCCCTCCCCCGAGCCTCTCCCTCCACCGCCGGGACCGACACGCCCCTGTCCCCCTGTCCCCATCCCGTGTCCCCCCCACCTCGGCGAGTTTCCTCTTGGCGATCGCCCCCGCTCCCACGCCCCGCCGGTGCATGGCGGCCCTGCCGCTGCCACTGACACTGACACTGCTACTGACGGCATCGCCCCGCGCCGGGCACGGCGGGGAGGGACCCGCACGGAGCACTCCCCACAGGGAGGGACCGGCACGGAACACACCCCACGGGGCGGGATCGGCACGGACACACCCCACGGGGCGGGACCCGCACGGACACTCCCCACGGGGCGGGATCGGCATGGAGCACACCCCGCGGGGCGGGACCCGCACGGGGAGATGCTCGGAGCGGGCACGGGTGAAGCTGGGAGGCTCGGGGTGCTCCAGGGTTTTCTGGGGGGCTCAGGAGGAATCTGAGGGGCTCGGGGAGTGTCTGAGGGACTCGAGGGGTGCGAGGGGCTCAAGGTGGGGTCTGAAGGGCTAGGAGGGGGTTCTGGGGGGCTCCAAGAGGCTCTGAAGGGCTCAAGGGGGGCTCAAAGGGGCTGGGGGGCTCTGAGGGGCTCAGGCCGTGTGTGGTGAAGCCCTGGCACAGCTTTCCCAGAGCAGCTGTGGCTGCCCCATCCCTGGGAGTGTCCCAGGCCAGGTTGGACGGGGCTTGGAGCAAGCCGGGATAGTGGAAGGTGCCCCTGCCCATGGATGAGCTTTAAGGCCCCTTCCAACCAAACCGTTCCGTGGTTCTATGACATTTATTTAGCAATTTAGTAATATTTTATAGCCCATCCCCACATCAAGTTTCTCCAAATCTTATTTCAGCCTCAAATTAAAAACTCTTTATTGCATGAATAAAATAAACCGTGTGCACAGAGTAGGGTGAGTGGAAGAAATCCTCCTCCTCCTCGTGTGTCTGATGGGATGAAGAGGGAGTTCCTTGGGAGAGCCCTGGACTTATGCAGTTCTAACAAAGAAGAAATGGGAAAGAAAAGCATAAATTCCTGTGTCCCTGCACCTTTTGCAGGGGAAGGACCTTAAATCCCAACCAGTCCCACCCCATGCTGTGGGCAGGGACACCTCCCACTATCCCAGGTCACTTCAAGCCCCATCCAAGCTGGCCTTGGACACTTCCAGGGGTGGGGCAGCCAAGCAGTGCCATGTAAGCACTCTGGTTATCCAAAGGAA